CATCCATCCATCCATCCATCCATCCATCCATCCATTCATCCATCCATCCATCCATCCATCCATCCATCCATCCATCCATCCATTTAAAAAAAATGTATCAGCATAATTCCTCTAATAACATACACGAAAAAATTACTATATTCTGATTAGCTTAGAGCAGTGTTGTTAAAACGTAATACAGTGCAAAAAGTGTAATTCAGTGTAAAAAAGTGTAATTCAGTGCAGAAAAGTGCAACGGAATTCTCGCTTTTGATTGGATAATCAACAATAGAAAATGATTTTAGCCAATAAGATGACAGATTTTTATTACGAAAAATTTGAGAAAAGTTTGAAGCAAATCGAGGGGGAAAATGGCAGCCATTTTATCTTAGGTAAAAGTAAGCAAAGATTTTACGGATTTTACTATCAAACAACTAAAAAACAGTTCAAAAAAGAAAACACAAGTAAAAGTACATCGTTATTGTTGAATATATGGAAAGAAATAGTGGGAAAAGAATGTATGACATGAATTGAGGGAAATGAGCCAGTCGATCTAAAGAAAATACTCGAGCGATTCTCGGCCGAAGTACAGCAAAAACTAAAACAGAAACGAAAAAAACTATGAGCAAGAGCATTAAACACGATGTGGTAAGTGCTTACACAATATTTTGGTCTACAAGGTCCCAAGCTGAGCCTCAAAGTTTTCTGAACTAACACGTTCAACAACTGTCAGGTAAATTTTGTTTTCGATATACATGCAACTCCAGTTAGATTTTTTCGTGCAAGTTATTAACAAGTAATAACACGATTTCTCGTTCAATTTGGGATATTTTGCACGAGTGTGTTTTTAAAAGAGCTGTAATTGCAGTCGACCTACGGTCTCGTGCAATTTCAGCTCTTCGAAAAACACACTCGTGCAAATTAATCGCAAATTGAACGCGAAGCAAGAGGGAAATTCCCTACATTTAATATATGCGACAGGGAAATTTAGTAAAAGACAAAGGATTTCTTTTTCTTCTAAATTTCCCTCATGATCTATGCATGCGGGAAATTCGGGTTTGTAAAGCCCTCGGAAGACAAAAGAATCCGAGGTGATCATAGTATTACTATACTTAAACACCCAAGGAGCCTCAGGAATACACCCTTATCACGTTAGCGTGGCATATTATGAAATATTATTCAAATTTGTCACATCGGTAATAGTAAAATTGCGAAGTTTCCTAAGATTGCCCTGAAACTGATGAGGATATGAATTTTTGAACCTATACATCTTTGCAAAGAAATGTATCGCAATAGCGCATCGCTTGCGTTAAAAGCCTCGTTTTCAGGTAGGGCACAAATTTATTTGCAAAAGTTCCAATTTTGTTTTAAAAAACCCTCTTTCTCTGCCAAATTAATTGAAAATAGCTTTACAAATCGCAATCCTGAAAATGTTACTAATAGCATTATTGTCCTCCCAAGTTGTAGTAGAGAGACTCTGATTTATATCTGTGATAGTTTAGCGCCAATAAAAAATAAATAAATAAAATAAAAAAATAAAATAAAAAAAGCGAAAATTCCGTGAATCTTTATCTCAAATAAACTGGGATAACTTATAATTGCTTCATAAGCAAATATAGGCGCTTTAAGGACCAAAATCAGTTTGTTGAATTTAAAGAGCACCAATCTGCTTAACGAAAGATAACACGCAGAGTTCCCCAGAGATCAATCCTTGGTCTTCGCTCTATTCTTTATACTTTACACAAAAATACTCAGATACTACACTATTTGCTGATGATACAAGTATATTTCTTCATAATAATAACCCAAATGAATTAATTTTCAAATTTTAAATGAGAACTTAAGTAAAATGTACGGATACCTGGATGAGCACAAATAAATTCTCTGTAAATATCAAGAAGACAAAAACAAAAACAAAAAAAAACAAAACAAAACAAAACAAACAAAAAAAAATCATTTAGAGCAAAAACGGAGTTTCTTGGTGCGTATATTGAAAAACACCTGACTTGGAAAACTCACATTGTTCTCAGTCTGAAGAAAGGTTTCCAAGTTTCTTCAAAGCCTAGCATATACAAGAGCCAAGCATATATATAGCTGAAATGCAAGAGGAACTTTTTGTTCAAGGAATATGTAATATTAATGTATTACCTTTTGTTCCCGCTATAAACAATAGCCTACGAGCCAAGTTAATCGAATTTTTCAAACTATTATTATCTTTTTAATATTGAAGATTCGTTTTCAGTAATGAATGTTCGAATCGAATAATGAAATCAAGAATCCAAAAATAAAGTCATTAATACCTAAGAACGGCTGCGAAGGAGGCTACGCTTGAGGTGGTTTGACTGTAAAAGGTCGAAAACTATTTAACAAGTAGACTACGAGGTGGAGTTTTCTATGAGTCAATAGATAGTAGCGCCGAATCGACTATTAGACTCATAGAAAACGAGAACGAGTAGTCTAATTGTTTTAGCATAAACCTACTAGCTAATATTATAGTACTGAAAACAAAAAATTTCACTGAAAACTTTACTGCACAAAGCGACGGTCAACCGGCGGCACTGTTTTCATTCATATTTGCGAACTCGACTCAAAGTATTAATGTTAAGCTTAAACTCGCTCTATTTCTATAGCTTTTTGTCTCTATTATTACTGTCAAAACTCTCTTTCCAACATAGAGATTAACTTAATTCACCCTCGGTTTTACATGAAGCTTGTTAGGCCTCTAGCATATACTGCTAATTATCCGAGAAAATTAAATGATGAGTGTAAACTAAAAGAAAAAATATCCTAAATCTTAATAATGAATATACGAATGTGAAAGCTATGACTAAGTTATGGCGTTAATTATACATATTGAATTTTATTTAACTTTTTCTATTATTTTCTCAATATTTCAAACCTAATATTTGCTTTGCGAATAAAGAGAAGATGCTTTTGTCAGGAGTACTGAAAAAAACTTTAAAATGTCTTGAACTTTTTTTTTTTCCATGACAAAGACCGATTAGTCAGCCTAATGAGCTTGTGGAATTGAGAGAATTCCCTCAGGAGCTACAGTACACTCGACTACGTCTCGGGTTTGCATAACTGTCTCGAATTCTCCCAACCTCCCCTCGTGTTGCTATCAGGCTATGTAAACACGAAAAAAGTTTTCTATTGCTTAAGTAGAACATAACTTATTGTTTTAGTGTCATAAAACCACTAATATGTCAAATAAATAAATACAAGCAATGTTGAAATTGAGGTAAAATAATTTACTTTTGCGTTGCTTTGGTTTTCAAAACCAGTACTCTTCGCTACTACTTTGTTGTTACTGTTGTTGTTATGGCTTGTTTGTGGCGTCGTACTGGTAATTTGCGAAGCTCAAGTATTCCAAACAGATCGAGCCATCGCCATTCCCCGACCAACTGCAAGGACTTCCTGTGTCGAAATGCACGCATGCGTAGTCTAGGTCTGTACCCCGCTTTGAAAAATCCTGGATCCGCCACTGCTTTTAGACCACTAGTAGCTCAGCAAATCAGAGTGCAGGATTTGTGATAGACCATTAGTAGGTTTATATCAAAATTTGATATTTAGATCTTATTAACCGAACTTGGTCGGTCTGTACGGGATAATCGTGACCGAGGTCGGAATGTACAGACCGAGCGCAGCGAGGTCTGTACCCGACCGAGGTCAAGATTATCCCGTACAGACCGACCAAGTTCGGTTGATAAGAGTTTTATTATATGACCACTTTTCATTGAAAAGGACAAAATGTTTTTGCCGTAAGATTAATATGCGATCGGTTAATACCGGAGAATCTAGACGATCTATCCAATCAGATTGCTCGATTTGCTAGTGTCCAGGCTCTAAGATTCACGGTCATATAATAAACTTGAATATTGGATTGACCAATGTTTGCCATGAGCTGTAATTTGGGAATTGTTTTAGTATGATAAATAAAACAGTCGTAAATTCAAAACCAGTCGATGAATGTTATTATAAGATTCATAATATCCTTTATATACATGGCAACGAGGTATACCGGCATCAGAATCGACACGAGGCACACGGGTATCAACAGGGTACATTAGAATCGACACGAGGCACACTGGTGTCAATAGGATACATCAGAATCGACACGACGATACGGGCATCAACAGGGTACATTAGAATCGACACGAGGCATACCGGTATCAACGATCAACGTGATACATTAGAATCGCTACAGGGTAATACGAAGTTATTGTGTCTACCCCATAGAATACGGCGAAAGGCTAATTTAAAGTCGTTCATTCGTAGCGCGTATATCCACGGATTACAAGCTGAATTACCAAATGCTAAAAGAATGGCCCACAACCAATCTCTGTAAATCAGCATTTTCTTGCAATGTCCTTTTGTTGCGAATTCGACCCACGAAAATACGAAATTTGGGAAATACATCATGACAAAGACGCCTATAACAATGGCCATGGTTGTTGCAGCCTTTCTGTTTTTAATTGCTTCTACGTTTTGTTGCGTTCGGATTGTACTGGCTATGTGTTTGATTTGTATCCTTGCAGCTTTGAATATGTGGCAATAGCAGAACACGATTATCAATAGAGGAATGACCATGGTGAAGACTTGACATGTAACCCATAACACCGAAGCTTCCTTTGAACTGGAAACCAATAATGTTGGCAAAGCAAGACTGAAAGATGCCGTCCACAACAGGATAATAATGCATTTGGTTTTTTGTTTAGTCATGATGAAATGATATCTAAATACTGATGTAATAGCAAGATATCTGTCAATACTGACAGCAACGAGACTAAACGTCGTGGCTACCAGAGTTTGAATCCAAAAGAAATTTTCAAGCTTGTACAGAGGGTTATTGGAATCTGGCCAAGCTCTGAGAAAAGTAAGACCTATGTATATAGGACTCATAAGCAAACCAACCAAAAGATCTGCTATTGCTAATGATACGATGTAGAAATTCGACACAGTCTGTAAGCTTTTTGTTCTTGTGATAGAAAATAGAACGATTGCATTTCCAAATATTGAAAAAAATCCTGAAAGACCTTGAAGGAGATTGAATATGACAAATTGGATGGCTGGTAGGTTTGGGTCACAGTTCTCTGGATTCGTATGGTTCATTATTAATGTTTAAACTCCTTGTCAGTCGTGATTTGGTGTTTTCTTGTGACGCACCTCCGGCATCGCTACCCCAACTAAATGTAGCACGGGTTAATTCTCTGAAAAAGAGGGAAATAAAGTATTTATCAGTAAAATACCATTTATAGCACATAAAAACACAGGTGATGCACGCTGCTAAAGCGCAGCCTATCACGTTCCTTTCGATGTTCTGGCTTTGATCCATCGGATATCCTCACCCGTAATTTTCGAAGAAATTTTCTTCTGGATATTTTTCAACCTCCAAGTTCAAGTTCTAAATTCTAATCCGATTACTAGAGAACCTGTCAATTGTGTTTCTGAAACCTGTTAGTATCTGTTCATTGCGAGTTGGAAATGAAATCAAATTATATTTAGGGCCGAGAAAAGTGACCATCTGATGATTATATTACGATATGCTCTGCGCTTGAGAACAAATGAGTTTCTACTTTATCCACTAGGCAAAATTAAAGACTTGAATACGACTCACCAAGAGGTAACACGAAGAAATGTCTAATAAAAGTTTATTGGTTGTAAGCTACTTTCTGATTAACCCGTGTCAAAAACTACCGCTGGTTTTCATTAACATAATAGAGATTTGTTTTCTCTTTTTTCTTTCTTTCTTTTTCTAAAGTTTTAAAAAACTCGTTATAAATAAATCTACGGCTTCTTTTCTATAGAGGAATATAATTTCGCCGCGATACAAGTAGCAAATTTGCGAAAGACATAAAGAATACTTAGAAGCATAAACGAAAGGAGGGTCAACCTCGGTTTTACAGAGTTTGCGCCCGGAATTTGGGTACACTACTTTTGAAAGATCATTTTTGTGTCAGTCTAAAGGCCGGTTTAGACGGTACGATTTTCGCCTACAACTATCGTATACAACACGCTCGCGCCATCCTACAACTCGAGTCGGAGCGTGTAAATCAAGCCTACAACTCGCCTACGACAGACGCGAGCGTGTTGTATACGATAGTTGTAGGCGAAAATCGTACCGTCTAAACCAGCCTTAAGTCCCTGTTCTTCGTGTTGGTCCCCTCGCCTACACAACTTATAAATGTCAAGGTCGCGCTCTGTCATTCTGGTTTTTTTTTTTTTTTTTCCCCCACAAATTGTCGGTTTGCGTATTATTTTCACTTTTGATGGTGGCATGTCATTGAAACGAAAAAAGATCCAATTTTTTGTCCTGTCCATAGATTACCTTAATCCAAGAGGCTTGTTAAAGCAGGGCCCTATCTACCACTTTGGAAAGGATCCAGTTAGCAAATAGGTAACCGTGGTTCAGTCGATAAATGTCCAAATCGAGTCTTCAAAAGTTGGCTTCAGATCTTACTACACCGCGTCAAATCCTTTGTTCCTCATTCTTATTTTACCACCGACCTTCCATATGGATCTACTTGAAAATTCAACTCAGCTGTTTGCTTTTCATTCGCTTTTTATTTATTCAATGTAATAATTTACGTTGGTGGTAGGAAAAAAACACCTAGTACAGCTAGTATTAGTTTAGCGAGATGAAAAATTTAAATGAAATAAAGAAAAAACACATAACAGGTGTTGGTCATAGTACACTTTAATTTATCCATCCCTAATGGATGGCAAAAAAACCTGCATTATAACCAAAATCACACTGAGAAAAATGGGATTCAAATCTGCTTAACTTGTTTGTTAAAAAAGAGATAATCCGCAGAATCTGGAAATTTTAGGATACCTTAAAAAGTTACTTGGATTAGGGTTTTGCTTAATATAATTTATTTTTATTTATTTATCTATTTATTTGTTTTGAGGAATTGGACATTTGCAGAATTCATGGTTCTTTCAAATGACTAAAATAAAGCCGGGCTCACTCAAATATACAGAATAAAATTAAGAAAAAGCCATTCATTTAATTTAAATAAATATTATGTATATTATACTAAATAGAATTGTTCCTTTCATCCAGCATGGATACCATACTTCATTCATGTCATCTCTTTGACTTTTGTATTCAATCAGTGGTTCTTTGAATAAAATATCACCATGTAGTGTCTCATTGAACATTGGTGTCGCATTGATGCCGAATGCCGAATTTCAGATAACGTTCGCTGGCAAATGAAATGACTTTAAGTTTCCTTAATGTTTATTCTCAGCATACCTCATATATTTTTGTTCAAAATAGAAATAGAAAATGGGGTCACCGTATTAGTTTCTTTGCTAAATCCCGCGAAAATGATTCCCCCAGGATAATAAAAGTGGCTTAATGTAGTACCAGACAGAAAGAAGAATTCATGTGTGAATTTTAAAAAAATCCTTTCAAGTAGTTAAAGATCTTCAGTTGCCTTAAATGTAAAGGTTTTCACCAATCTAAAAGTCTAGATATAATAAATGACCAATTTTAAATTTATCTAACATTTCCAATTATAAAATTTATTTGACGAGTTGTAGGTTATAAGCTTCAAACTGAAACCTACAAGCAAAACCATGTGCAATAAGGCATCTCAAATAATCTTCCCGGTTACAAAAAGCCGAAAATGTAGTGTAATCCACAGCGTGGACATGGTATTATTATTATTACTTTTTTAAATTATTTTTCAATCGAAAGCAAGAGAAAATGAACTATTTCAATTTTCTCTCGTCGAAAGAGTATATGTTTTTTTGTTTTCTTGTCCGCGCGGGACTAGGTTCTAGTTGCTTTATAGCTGACTGGAATGATTTTGTTGGTCCTTTAGCTTCTTTCTGTCTATACGATCAAATAATACTCAATTCAGAGACTTCATACTAGGACTAACTAATCTCGTACTTATTTGTTTTGTGTGTAAAAAAAGTTGTTTCAAAAAGACTTTCAATAAATGTGATCATTAAATGGGACGTTTTAAAAGGAAAAAAGTGTCAAAAATATATATCGCAAAGCCTTATGGGATCAAAATGCGGACAAACTTTGCAAATTGAGGCTTCGATTACATGAAAAAAAAAGTATAATATCAGTCGAAAACCATAGTTCTTCTATGAGTTGGAAATAACAAGAATATAAAACATTGTTGCAGCATATAGCATGCAATACGCATGTGCGCTTGGCTTGGATGGTCCACATTTGTAATCATGATGCAAAATTATGACGTCATCCGTGGAAAAAATCTAATTATGCAAAATAGTTTGTTATCAGTATTCACAATAGTTCTAATTTGTTTACTATACATATTCTTTCTGAAAATTGCAATCCAGTTCCACTTTACACTGACGATGGCAGAGGTGTGGTGTTTTTTCCTTTCAAATATATTTTCACACAACGAGTGTTCGAAACTGTCCTTTATAAAAAGGCTACTTTCGGAAACGGATACGTGTGGAAGGGCGAAAACGATTAAAAAAACGCTATGTTTTGACGATAGTTTTTTTGAATGCGGAATAAAAATATCCCATTTCAAAATATCCGTGGACAAATTAATATTCGATGGCATAAAGTTAGACTTTGGTTAGTGGCGAAATGAATTTGGCATAACATGAGCTATCATATTCCATTTCCTGTCCACCTGTACGACTATAAGCCTATAATGCATGGGATATATTTAGATCCTTTTGGTAGACAGACCTAGGCCTTTTACAACCATTAAAGCCGTCAATAAACTCTTTCCGATTTGTTTAATATCTTTCCGTCGTTAGTCGTCAGGCTTGATGGCACGATGGTCTCGTGTGATTGATAAAGAATATGCAGCTCTTGGGCTAGTTTGGGGTAGTGACCTCAAACAGAAATTTGAAATTGAGACGGTAGTAGATATTGTCATAGAAAAAGTAGAAAGAAAGAAAGAATGAAAGAAAGAATGAAAGAAAGAATGAAAGAAAGAATGAAAGAAAGAATGATGATGGTGGTTATAATGAATTTAAACTGAATGTAAAGAAAAAGGCAGTACTTTAAAGTAATTCATAAAAAGTTGAAAAGGAAAAATAAAGATGGAATGATGGATCAACCACACTGGCAGCCCAAGCAGTGTTCTTGAGATCTAAATCCCGGGGG